ATCGGTAAAAACGTAACTTATTTCGAATTGAAAGTCGGTTTCTTAAAATACGTTTCTCTACTGTATAGGACAAATTATAATGACAATAATTGAATGAAACATTTATGTGTTTGTACTGATATCCTCATAAATCCAGAAGGTTGTCAGTTGTGGAATTTTGTGCGAGAAGTTCTTTTACATTTATACGCGACTAAGCAGGACCACCACCGCCTGGTCCATGGCTTTTACAATACTCAATCAGCAGGTTGGGAGACGTTTCAGATGATAGTTCTTCACAAAAAAATAATTTTCACTTATTCCAACAAGATGAGAGAAAGCGAAGTAAAGAACCTACTGTGGGCATTTGAAATACATTCAGAAATAGAGTTTCATACATTAGTAAAAGCAGTTGCAGGGGATGTTGAACAAGTTGAAACCTTCTTTCGAATTTGGGCTGAAAAGAAAATTGGTTTTGTTTTTTTACTGAGCCTCTTAATGAAATTTTAAAGATTGTAATGCCTACTTCGCTCTCTATCCCATCTGCTGATCAATAAACGTTTGGATGGAACTAAGGTTTACAAAAGGGGTTTGTCGGAGAAAAGTCTTACACAGACGTTGAGGAAACTAGAAACACTGCACCAAATGATGTCACAAACCATTTTGTAAAAATGTGATCTGAATGTCATTTCGTTAAACATGTATAGGTTGTCATTTTTTTGTCAGAATACTGCTAAATTGGTTTACATTGAATGTGTAATCAACATATTCTCACATGTATCATTCCATACATGTGATTACTCACAAATTCGAGGAGTCAACTGTGTCATAAATGAGACTGCCTGACTGATGTATTGCGTATTGTCGAGTCGTTTCTTTTTTTAAGCGTAAGAGAATGAGATGGACAGTTAGTGAAAGGGTAGAACATGTGCCGTTGAAGTCGATCGTACAAATGAGACAAAATCAATGTGTGATCGATAGAACGACAAATGCTAACCGCATGAGTTTTGCGGTTCAGGAATAAACAGCGGTTATCTTTATCCCTGTTCGCTCCAATTTCAGCCTATTCGATGACGTCAGTATTCTCAACTTCCTCCTCCTCCTCGTCATCATTATACACAATTTCAAAACGATTTAAACTCTACTAATTTCAAGGATAAAGTGATTAATTTTACTTTGGATTTTCAAACTAAGTGGGCTTTGTGTGTGTGTGTGTTTATGTGATAAAGCGGACAACGAGCAAAGAGCAGTATTGCAGTCCAGTGGTTTTTTGCACCGATGAACGTCGTTTGTATGTGTGAGCAAGTAGTACCGTTGATGTAACACTTTTGCGTGTGACGACCACACCAAGGCTATTCATTTCACCGTACAAAAGTGCATTGTTTCAGCTGTTATCCTACGGGCTATTAGATAGAGCACATCATATACAATTAATTCCAAAACCTGTCTGAAATTCATTGTTCTAATTTCTTCGTTTATCAGAATTCCCGGTTGTTTTCATGTGGTCATTTTGTGCAAGAGTTGAGGATATTGCGAAACGATGACGGACCCCACCCACAACAAACTACAGTGGAAACTCTCCCGGGTGATTATGCGAGATGTATAAGGCATTTTCGAGCAGTTCTGCACAACCTATTGGGGTAACAAATGAATATACATTTATATATGCCTTTTCTTATCCAAGTTTATTTGCAGTATACAAGAAAACTGCTGGTGCTGTAAGTAGTTCCAACCTCACCAGTTATCAGAATGAGTACTGGTTCCGTAGTTTGAAGTTAACCGATCATTTTCTGTTAAACTATCGGACTTAGATGCAGCTTGGGGATCACACGCAGCTAGAACTCCAAAGTTTCATTCTTGAACCGCTTACTATTCGTTGGCTTAGAACATAGTAGGTAGCTAAAACAGAGTTCTTTAACAAAGAGTTACCCAAAACCCGGCTGAAACTTAGACTCTTTCATTTTTATAGATCTCAATTTATTTGTAATGTTCTGTTCAATGTTTTCTAATTGCCGACATACACAGAGATTATAATATCACAACAGTTATAAGTAGGTGATCCATGAACTTCACCTAATCGATAATTTCCACCATTTCATTCCATTCGGAATAATGCTCTCATTATATAATTATTCGTGTGAAATACTCAATAGCATTGGTTTACTCACTTTCGTATGTGTGTGTGCGCGCACGTCTTGTCGTCATTTGCCTCAAACCGAAGGATTTGTACACAGTTAAGCCGTTTAGGAATCTGTCATTTGAATTTGGACAGTAGTTTAACTCAAAACATTCACATCTCTTGTATTTTTATTGACCATTTTACCAATTTTCATTATTCAGTGTGATTGAGTTTCCGTATGTAACTCGGTAAATTGATTACTTCAAACGATAGGTTCTAATCTAACATTTGTATTCTGTTGAATCCGGACGTATCAGCTTTCTGTATATGCACACGAAATCGGTTTGTGATTCCAGTAGAATTAGCCTAGATGCTGATCGGTAACTTAGTCACCAAAAGCATGTTCATATCGTTCTACCGCGCGTTTTAGCCAATACTATTCTAGTGAAGACTAAACATAATACTGATAACCCTTGCTTCTCCCCCCCTCTCTTCCCCGGTTTTTCTCGACCGAGGTTTATTTAACTAACTGGCCCCAGGGAGAAGATGCTGCATTCAGCCACAGAGTGCAGCCGGTGGGAGCATAGATCACCTGTTTGGTATCTATAGTTGTTGTTCTTAATGAAATACTTTCAGAATTTGGATTGTGACTCAGGTAGTTCGGTGTATCGTATGTCACATGTCCATCGAAATATCTGTGATACGCATTTATTTGTTTATACGTGACTCCGATTCTATCAGACAGCTTTCAATCGCTCTGGATCGTGTAACGCCGCCGGTTGATGAAAGTTAAGTCATCTACGAAGTTCACCGGATGGATCCATCAATGTGCTTCCAACTCACCAATCGCAACAACTTTATTCCTGTTCGCTGAGGACTTCAGTCCTTAGAGTATTGGATTGAACAGATTCGATAACCCAGGATATCGATTGTGAAAAGTTCAGTAGCCTCGGTGGGATTCGAACCCACGCATGGACGCCGCCTACGCTTTGTACGCGTATGCTCTACCAGCTGAGCTACGAGGCCACACCGATAGCACTGATCTTTTCACATTCGAATTTACCCATCCAACTTACAGAGGCATGTGGCATCCACCAGTTAGCATGCAAGCGTGGGTTCGAATCCCACCGAGGCTACTGAACTTTTCACAATCGATATACAAACTTCAAATCTGCCAAACAACTATTTGAACAACCCAGGATATGACAAATAAACTAAACGAGCTTACTGAAGTACCACGATGACCTTGAACTATCTGTCAGCCTCTAACTCAGCACATATTCTAGCTTCTCAGAGGGTATTCTTTGTTGCTAACGTCCTTCCAAAGATATCCGTTGATAACTTCAGAACATTTATATACTTCCAAATAGGGTTTGACATAGTTGTTTTCAATTAGGATTTCCATTTGAATGATTCTTTAGTTACCGCTTGCTGATGGTTTGCATTTGTCTGCTAATATCCTAGACAAGACTTTTACGGTCCATTTCCCTGTTCGTAGAGGTTTGTTTTGTTTTTTTCACCAATTTTGCAATGTACTAACTTTCTCTTATTCTCAACACGATTAAAATTCTCATATGCGCCATTATTTGCTTCCCACTGGAAGAAACTTCGGTTTGTGGCCGTTTTCCACTCTTGGCTGAAACAAATAAAACCCTTCGTAGAGAAGTAGTCAGAAAAATTGAAACAGCCTAAAGGAACCTAATCCTCCATCCATCTCAAATGAGATAAGCAAACTCATACTATTATATGAACAGGTGGATTGAGGTTCTCAGGATTTCTTGAATCTCAAACGGGAAATTCGTCATGTATCTGGCAAATGAAGCATGGACTGAAAATGTAGGAAGCACTGGGCAGCTGTTTTTACTTGGTTGGGTTTAATCCGTGCAGTGCGAATCGATCGACCCAACTGAAAATTGAACCCGGAAACTCACAGGGAGGGCGCAAGCATGCTACTGCCAGGCAGCTGATGAGACTGCTTTACATTCTCCATTACTCAAATGAAATAAGTAGTCAGTTTGTGATTGTTTTCAACCGAGCCGTAACCCCGGAGGCTAATGCTGAAATGATCGAGGTCTGTGGCCTGCAATAAGCTCGCAAAGATGGGTTGCGCTATATCGTGTAAATGGAAAATGAAAAACAATCTGATCAGATGCCCGGTCACGTAGTGGGTAGCATGCTTGCATTCTACCCATGAAGTCTCGATTCGATTCGATCCCCAGTTGAGTCGATGGACTCGCACTGCAAGGATAAGACCCAACCAGGTCGTAGCAGCTGTCCAGAAGTGCTCCTTAGCTTTTCAGTTCATGCTTCATTTGCCATATTCATGACGAATTCCACTTTGAAATTGAATTAAGTAATCCATTATTCATATTTGTTGAATCTCTAAATTTTCTTCAAAGCTAAACTTCAAAGTGATAGCACTCAACACTTATTTTTTTTTAGTTCACCCACCCTATCTAATTGCTATCCGGATTTTTGTGGTATTTTTTGTTTTTCCATCCATCTAATCAGCAGAACCAATGGTACCACAGCAATGCGCTTTGTCGGGCTCCACTGTAACCATGTTTCATCGTCAAGTGTCCTATACACACGAAGTGTGCCAAACGTCCGATGCGTATCCCTTTAGCGCGGCTACTTATACCCCATGTATAACAGATCAGAAAGAGGACCCGGAGGTCGCCTCACACATAGACTATATCAAATCGTTTGTAACACACAGTGATACGGCTCACGAGAAGGAACTAGACATGTTACATTTAACTCATTCCTCTGAAACCACGGAACTGTATGAAGGGCATCGATTGCACTCCACCTGTGATACACCCCCGGCACCTGTGGACACACCGTTGTCCCCGTACGTGGAGACACAATTACCGAGACCAATAATCACTTCGCAAGAGTATGCGTCTCTTTGCTCGTTTTCCGATGACCAGTCAGTCCGGTTGCGAAGAACCTCTCAAAGTGATAGCTATGAATTGGAAGCGATTCCTGATCCAGCTGCTCCCATTTCCCGATCTGTTTCGTTCTGCTTGGGGAGTGATCAACTACGCATGGAGAAACCCAATCAGCCTTTGAAAATGTTAGAAATCAAACTGTCACCGTCACACGAACCCCATTTTGAGGCCCCATTGCCTTCGACCTCTTTCACGCAACCCCTTACCCGAACACGATGTCCATCATACTACCCAGATCCATCCGATCGTGCTGTTCAAATGAATCCTGTGGTCTTCTATGAAAAATCCGAGCCTCCTCAACCCAAGTCTGTGATGCAATATAGTGAGATAAAGCCGACAATTGCACCATTCTCTCCTACTCCGACAACTACCAGATCACATGACCTGTTTGCTAGTAGCTCTTTTATGTATTCCACCAGTTTTTGTCCTCATCCACGACCGTCCGGTTCCCACGTTTATCCAGCAGCATTCGACTGTCCCGAATGTGCTCGACTTGCCTACGTCACTACTGGTCAACCCAGTTTAACGACGGCTGTGCCGTCGCAGGTGGTCACAGTGACTCAGCACAAGAAGCGGCATATGTGTCCGGAATGTGGCAAACGTTTCACTCGTCCCGATGAGCTGAAACGACATCATCGCATTCACACTGGTGATAAACCTTTCTCGTGTAAATATTGTCCTCGTTCTTTCAGCCGCTCAGATCACCTTCGGACACACACACGTTCGCATACCGGCGAAAGGCCATATTTATGCACCCCTTGTGGAAAACGTTTTGCACGTTCAGATGAACGAACAAGACATAGAAAAATACGCGGTTGTGGAGCTCTGGAAGCTGCTGTCGTGGCTGCTGCTGCAGCTGCTACTGGGCCAACAGGATTTGGTCACTCATCCGGCTCGGGTACCATAGCTACACCCGTGAGACGTCTCAGTGCTCCTACCCCAATTGTACCTGATTCTGCAATCGGTTCGTCCTCTCATATTCCTATCAGAATGCGCCCAATGAGCCAACCTGAACTGCGAACTCCTTATACTGTGAGCACAGTGGTATCGCCAGTTCGACAAACAATTCAACCCACCTGGACCCTACCGCCCTCACTCTACCCGCCTCACTACTACGGTCATTCAACTCCCGCACCATCGTCTACATCTTCCCCGATGGTGACACAAGCTCCGAGCATGGCACTGCCTCCGACTACTATTGTGACTCAGGACCTAGCGTCGTACACCGTGCCTCCTCAGGAAACAATTTCCATCAAGCAAGAACCGGATCCGAACTACCCACCAGTGCATTTACGAAGACCGAAGACGTGTGATTCCAATTAGTTGACTCCTTTCTGTTCTAGAATTTTATGAATGGAGAAATCTACTATTTTTTAACAACAAAGTTATTATTTTTCTTGAAATCGAGCGAACTGTTTCGGAGTAAAGAGATGCTTTCGATTATTCACTTGCTTCGCATCGTACTCGTTTTTTCCCGAATCTGTGCATATTCATCATCTGTGAACATACCAGCGAGCAGGCAGCCATAGATGCATAAACTTAAACGCATAGGTACACACACGTACACATAGACAAACAAATTTTCATAAATACATACATACATACATACATACATACATACATACATACATACATACATACATACATACAACATACATACATACATACATACATACATACATACATACATACATACATACATACATACACTCATACATGCATATATACATAAGTCACATAGGTTTAAAGAGAATATCCCCATGCAATTCAACTTACTGTTTTTTGTTCGATCCAGACCTAGGCTTCTGTGTTTTTCTGTGAACGCAACTATTTTATTTTATGACTATTTTTGTCAGTTTCATGTCCATTGATTACCCCGGTTTAATTCTGTGTTCTCGGATTTTCAGACTCTTCGTTTGATGAGTACATAGTTATTTTGTTTGTATATCAATGTCCATCCAGTTACCATTGAGATAAGCAAATGATATCTATGAAGTTTTTTAGTGCTTTGCTTTTAAGAACCCCCCCCCCCCGAGTCGCGGTCTTTTAGGTC